GGACACAATGTATGCACTTGTGATTCTGTGTTCTTCAACATGAAATCTTGTTTCATTTTTTGATTTTCGTTACATTGATTTACTATTTCTGTGAGGGGATGGGTGTGTCATGATGCCTGTGTGAGGCTCAGAGGATAACTTCTGGGAGTTGGTTCTTCCCTTCATGTGGCTTCCCTGGATGGAGCTCAGGTCATGAAGCTTGGGGACAAGCCCCTTCACCCCCTGAGCCGTCTCGATGGTTCCCTTGGAGACCAGTGGGTTTGGACTTTTGCGTTTGAAGGTTCTCTGCATTCCTGGACTTGGCTCACAGGAGAGCCGGCCACCCTGACATTGGGAAAGGCGTTTCCTGCCCTGATGAGTAGCAGCGTTGCCTTGGGTTGCCCCGGCCAGCGGAGTCTTCAACAGGGACCTAAAGGGAGGGCCGGCGAATGAAAGGGACAAGAGACACAAAGAATGAGAGCAAGACAGGACGTCTGATCAAGCACCAAAATTTTATTTTACTCTCAAGGCATATATAGGTAGGCAAAGGGGGTTGTGAGCAGGAAGGGACTTAGTTATGGGCTGTTCCTCCAGCAGGAAATGTTGCTCTGAAGGTTATCTATCTACCCTTGTCTAACTGCCTAGTTGCTTAACTGCAGCTCATTCACCTGATATCTGAGGAGAGGTTCTGGTATCTGTGGGAAGAGGTTTCTGGTGCTCTGGAGACTTAAGCAGGGCCTAGATCTAAGAAAAGAGGAGAGAAGCCCAAATATGGCAGCATATGTTTCAAGAGTCGCTTAGGCTTATGGCTCCCATCATCTCCTCCCTTTTAATTATTTATGAAGGTCCAAGGTGGCGCTACAAATTCGACTGGTGGCGATGGGCGTTAACCAAGGAGGGGAAACATTGCCCTGATCCTCCCGGTTTATTATAGGTGTATTTTGCTGGAGGAGGGGCCCTGGATGTATTCATCCTTAGACACCAACCCCTATGCAATCAGGGATATTCCTCGGGGGACCCAGAGGCAGAGAGCTTGGTCCTCCCCCTGCAGTGCCATTGGCCTCGCACCTTCCTTGGTACCCAAGCTCTTCCCAAGTGGGGCAAGCTTGCATGTTTCTGGGTTTTCATCCAGTTCCCAAAGGACAGTCATCGCTCAAAGGCTGTGTGTGGCCTTGATCGGCAAGATGAAGCCGATGATAATGGACCTGTATAGGTTTGGATGCCAGGGAGTCTATTTGTTTTTTGATGAATCGGGTTAGCCTGCCAATTACAAAAGGACCCAAAGTTACCAATAACAAGATGCTGACTAGTGGTCCTGTGAGAGGAATCAAAAGGGAGAACATGGATGATCTCCACCAGTCATCTGCTGTGGCAGAGAATCACTGCTTATGTAGCTCTAGGCTAAGTTTATGTAGCTTATTTATCTGGGTTTCTACCAATCCAGACTCGTTAATATAACAACAACACTCTTCCCTCAGAATAAGGCATGTCCCACTCTTTTCTGCTGTCCGCAGGTCCAAGGGCCGTCGGTTTGTAGGGCAACCTGTGCAAGGGAGGTTAGCTGCCTCTGGAGGGAGGACAGGGATGCTCCAGAAGCCCCAATTGCTACCTGAAGTTGTTTGGACAGGAGAGCTGTTGTTATGAGGGAGTGACCCAGGGCTCCTCCTGCCAAGCCTGCAGAAACCAGGGAGGTGGTGAGGGAAATTCCAGCCACAAGGGGCAAGAAGACAGCATTTTGGCTTGGGCCATTCCATTCTCTCCCAGTTACCTGTCCCTTAGCAGGAGAAATGGCATCATGAATTGTGCAGTCAGAATAGGGGCATCCTACGCTCTCCTCCCTCCAATAAATTTTGCAATTGTGGGCAGTCTGACCCCACCCCCAGAGAAGAAAAAGAAAATTTGTGAGTGGGCGATATAAACTGCAGTCAGGTCGTATTCCTCCCAGTCCTTCTTGGCTTGTGGGTGTTGGCAAATGTTGATCTCACGCCACCACCGCCGTCGGTGTGATCTCCTGAAGCTTATAAGAACCTTCTTAATAGACAAAATCTTAGACATGTTAGCAACATAACAGTGGTGAACTTTATCAGAGCAAAATTATGAATCCTTGGAGCCTCAACAAAGCATCAGTATAGCCAGAGAATGAAATCTGAAATGTGTCATTTATATATCTCCAAAGTTTTATATATCTCTGCCTTTGGAAGGCTAGGATTAAAGGCCTGTGTGCCACTATTTTCTGGCCTCTATATCTAGTGGCTTTTCTGTTCTCTGACCCCAGATAAGTTTATTAGAGTGCACAATATTTTGAGGAGCACAATAACACCACAGTGCTATTTGGGGAGGTAGAGGTTTAAGAGCTGTGACTTGCTGGAGAAAGTGTGTTACTGGGGAGGAGGGGCTGTGAGAGTCAAACCATCTGCCTCCATGTTGCTGTCTCTGCTTCCTGTTTCCAACTGAAGATGTGAGCTCTCAGCTTCCTGCTCCCCTACCATGCCTGCAGCTCTGGCCTTGATTGTCTGCTGTGATGCACTCTTATCCACTGGAGCTGCAGCCCAAAGAAGCCCTTCTAAATGTTGCTTTGGTCGTGGTGTTTTATCATAGCAACAGAACAGTAGTTAACACAAACACATAATTAAAAAAATAAAATTGCAGATGGTGTCACTATGTAGAGGAGGCTAGACTTGAAGTCACAGAGATTCACCTTCCTCTGCCTTCAAAGTGCTAGGAATAAAGTATGTGCCAGTATGCCACACTAAAAAAAAAAAAATAAAGAAAGAAAAATAAATCTAAAAAACAATAGCTTTCCTCTCTGTTCCTCTCCCCTGCACTCTGGACACCTTCCATTCTGCCCTCACCTCCCCACACAACCTATCCTTGTTGATTCCCTTACACTGTATCACAGGCATCTTCCCACCACAGCACTTGCTCCAGGAGACTAGCATCTCTGTATCATTTCTGAGTGTGTCTTAGAAACAGGACTTCATCTCACATCTGGAAGAGTCTCCGTGGACTGATCACAATGGACACTGCTGTGTCCTCTGCTACTCTACCCCAAATGGAGGCAGTGACAGCTGACCAAGGAAAACATCCATCCAGGGTCAGCTCGCTAAACCCTGAGCTCACTGGTCACTCACAGGAACCTGGGTGAGTCAGGGGATAACCACTCAGCTGCCCACCCTTGTGTGCATGTCACGCACCCAGCTGCATCACTGCAGTTCCCTGCTCAGCTCCCAGCAGCTCCACTGAACAGTCTCCTCTCCCTCAGGAACTGCACCTGGTTTAACCCTGAGAGGGAAGTGCTACATTGTGTCAGCTCCGGGAACCTGTAGCTTCTTGTGTTTCCTGAGCCTGCTCAGCTCCTCCTGGCTCCAGCAGGGATGTTTCAGTCCAGAGGAAAATTCACACCCTCACCTCCCTCTTCTACAGAAGCTCCCTTGATTAATACAACCTCAGGCCATGCTGGTGTGTCGGGTGCAGCACCAGGTCCCCTCACACTGAGGTCAGAGTCACCTGAGCTTCCCCTCAGCAAAGCCCTCCCTCCCTCCCCACCTGCCTTTCTGTCTTTGATCCATGATACTATTAATTTTTTTATTCATTCATCAAACATTTATTGGGTATGAATGTTTACTAGGTCCGAGGCACTGGAAGTCACCATCCCTCACAAGACAAAGATGGCTGCATCATGACAGAGATTGTCACCTTCTTGGTCTTCAAACATCTCAGCTAAACTCCTGGACTCCTGACTCAAGGTCACAAACCTAGAAAACTGTAGGGGCCGGAACCTGGAGCAGGGGTGAAGTAATTTCCATTTCTGGTGTTCCCACAATCTATTTTATAAAAGGTTCATTAATTGTATGTCTATGAGTGTTTTTCTTGGCTGTATGTGTTTGTACCATGTGCCTATCTGGTGTCCACAGGGGCACTGGAAACCATGGAACAGGAGTTATGGATGCTGTGAGCCATGGTGTGGGTGCTGGTATCTGAACCCGGGTCCTCTGCAGGAGCAGCTAGTGCTCTTAACCCCTCAGCCAAATCTTCAGTCCTTGGGATCATTTCTTTTAAATAAACTTAAATCTCGAGTAGATTCAGCCTGTAAATCCTTGAGTCACCACTGGGGGCAGCACCAGGATTCCCAGAGACAGAGAGGGGGAGGGGACCTTGGGCAGAACCCAGCTCCAACAGGACAGACTGAGA